GGCGGGGCGGGGCGGCGCGGGGCGGGGCGGGGCGGGGCGGCGCGGGGCGGGGCGGGGCGGCGCGGGGCGGGGCGGCGCGGCGCGGCGCGGGGCGGGGCGGGGCGGGGCGGCGCGGCGCGGGGCGGGGCGGGGCGGCGCGGCGCGGGGCGGGGCGGGGCGGCGCGGGGCGGGGCGGGGCGGCGCGGCGCGGGGCGGGGCGGGGCGGCGCGGGGCGGGGCGGGGCGGGGCGGCGCGGCGCGGGGCGGGGCGGGGCGGCGCGGCGCGGCGCGGGGCGGGGCGGGGCGGCGCGGGGCGGGGCGGCGCGGCGCGGGGCGGCGCGGCGCGGCGCGGGGCGGGGCGGGGCGGCGCGGGGCGGGGCGGGGCGGGGCGGCGCGGCGCGGGCGGGGCGGCGCGGGGCGGGGCGGGGCGGCGCGGGGCGGGGCGGGGCGGCGCGGGGCGGGGCGGCGCGGCGCGGCGCGGGGCGGGGCGGGGCGGCGCGGCGCGGCGCGGGGCGGGGCGGGGCGGCGCGGCGCGGGGCGGGGCGGGGCGGCGCGGCGCGGGGCGGGGCGGGGCGGCGCGGGGCGGGGCGGGGCGGGGCGGCGCGGCGCGGGGCGGGGCGGGGCGGCGCGGCGCGGGCGGGGCGGCGCGGGGCGGCCAGCCTGCGGGGCTCGGCTGCCGGGCGGCGTGCGGCGGTGCCGTTCCCGAGCGCAGGCGGGCGCCGCCGCGGCAGCCCCGGGAGGCGGGCTTTGCGCGCTCGCTTGCCCTTTAGCGTGCGTGGCTGGCAACCTTGGCAGAGCGTGAGGAAAGACAGAGTAGACACAGGCGCGTGCTTTACGAGGTTCTCAGAAAAATAACGAAGTTTCCGAAGGTGGGCATCGAAGCATATGTTCCTTACAGGTCCAAGGTTCAAGTTCTATCCGGGGGCTGCAGACTGCGTCTTTCTCCTCCAACGTAAAGCTCTCGCACCCGGGCTTGGCCCCGGAGGCTCTCCTGCTAGTCGCGCGCAAATCTGAAGAGCAGAACCGGGGGGTAGAGGGAGAGCCAGGATTGCCGTGCGATCGCAGAGCCAATTGCTCAACGCTTTGCAGTCACGGCCGCGGGTCTGTGCCACTCGAGGGAAGGAGGCATGCTGGGTGGTACCTGCGATGTCCCGGGGAACAACGCCTAAGGCCTAAACCAGCGGAGGCTGTAGAGATGGAAGGGATAGGACCTTTAACAGCAGAAGGAAAGTGGGGAAACAGGATTTAGAGTCTGGATGGATCTGCAAACAGCGTGCACTCACAGAATGCACACCCGTAGCTTGCCTAACGTGGACGTCCTTGTCTTTGCCCAAGCTAGTAAGCTGGGAGCAGTAGAATTTCTGCTTATTTGTTTGTTTTTATTTGTGGTCAGTGGGATGGGATCCAGAAGATGAACGTAAGTTTGGTTTTGGACAAGAATTTTTAGACACGTATGGGACAGCCTCCTGGAAACCTCTGATTAAGCACTGTGATCCGTGGCTCTGGAAGTCTGCGGAGACCTCAGATCTAGAGATTCTGATTTTTGTATGTATGCAGAAGAGAGTGCCCATGAAAAATAGACGGGATTTGTTGCTCTTCCAGGGCTGAATCATAAAGACATTTCTATTCTTTTCTTTTTAAGATTCTGTTTACTTATTTGAGAGGGAGAGAGCAAGCACGAGTGGAGGAAGGAGCAGAGGGAGAGAAGCAGACTCCCCACTGAGCAGGGAGCCCGAGGGCCCTGGAATCATGACCTGAGCTTAAGTCAAGAGTCGGTTGCTTAACCAACTGAGCCACCCAGGCGCCCCATAAGGCCATTTCTTAACCAATCCTCCAAGTTCTTTCTTGGTCTACTCTCCTAATGAGCAGGCCGACTTGGAACCCATGTGTTGAAGATGGCGAGCCACACACTGAAAGGAGCTGGGTCCTTGACCTGTTGATTGAAGGAACACCCCCCATTGATCAGGAACCCCCATTCTCTACTGTGTATGTACAAGAAATACATTTCTTTTCTGCTTAAGTCATTACATATTTGGGGGGTTGTTTTGGTTTTACAGCAGTTAGCACGATCTTAACTAATTCATCTTTAATCTGCAAATTCATGGCCCTTGATTCTAGGAACGTATTTTAAAATATTTGTTTGATCATTTTCTTTTTGTTCTTTCTTCTTCTTTTCTTCTGTCTTCTCATTCTCTTCCTTCTCTTGTTTAGAATTCCTATTAGTTGGTTGTTGAACTACCTGGAATCATCTCTGAATGTCTTCACTTTCCATTTCTGTGTCTTTTTGTTATACTATAAGAGAAATTTCCTCAGCATCAGAGAGCCATCCCCACGTGGAACTTGCTCATGGAAAGCTCCTTTTCCAAGGAGGAAAATAGGAGCTCATGATTCTACCCTCCCTGCCCTTCTGCTACTCCAGCTCCAAGTTAGGGGAAGAGAGAAGGGAATTCTTAGAAATCCCTATCCAGACAACTAGGTATTTTTATTTCTGACTTAATTCATTTTGACTCTTTCTGCATCTGTGAAAGTATTCAGCAAATATTGAAGGTACTGAGAGAATTCAGATCATTCTGGAATTCTTCCAAATAACTTCTTTATTATTTCCTTCTTCTTACATAAACACTTGTTGAAATCGCTTTCCAAGCCCAAGCTGGAGCTACTCCTGCCAGGGGGTGCCACGTCAGCAAACCGAAATTTAGGTAAATTCCACATCCTTGTGGATGACCTTGACCTGCTTGGCCAGAACTTCAGAGTATCCAGTCATTCCCCACATGCCCGGCCAACTCTGGGCCTCCTCGCCCCAAACAAGGCTGATGTGGCCCCAGCCCATCAGCAGTTTTTTTGTTTTTCTCTTCCTTGTTCTTTATTCTTTATGCTATAAAAGTTTCCTGCCTTTTAGCCCATTTTGCAGTTCTCTGAAAGGAGACTGTCCGTTTCATGAAGTGTTAAAGTTCGTTTGTATCACCTAAATGGTTTTCTTTCATCATTTTTTAAACACTAGAAAAGCAAGGATCAGCCACCATCTTGAATTCAGCAAGAGCTCCTAGGCTGCAGGCTCCTGCAAGCTTCAGGTCACAACTTCCCTCACCGGCCAAGGTTCTTTTTCACTCTTTCTTCTCACAATGCTGTGGAAGAGTGAAAATGCAGTTCATATATGAAAAAACTTCAGGGGCTCCTGGGTGGCTCTGTGGGATAAGCATCTGACCCTTGGTTTCATCTCAGGTCATGATCTCAGGGTCGTGAGATTAAGCCCTACATCGAGGGCTCCCCACTTAGTGCAGCTTCCTTGGGATTCTCTCTCCCTCTCCCCTGCTCTCTGTCTCTCAAATAAATAAATCTTAAAACAAACAAAAACCTTCAAGGATTTCCCAAATGTAATAACAGTTTGAAAAATATGCTTGGCATTACCATCAGATGTGAAGCAAAACAAACAAACAAACAAAAAACAAAAAACACTTTTCTAAACTATAGTTAAAAAATAATTTAACCATGTTAGAAGACTGAATTATCTCTCTATAGAAAATAATGCTACAAAACTGTTATTATATGAAAGGTTATAAAAAATAATGCAGCAAATAATGTAGAAGAAACATGTTAGAGGTATATTAATAAGTTAACTTTTTGTGACGTTTGTGGAATTCATCAGCTTTTTAAAATTTGTAATTTGTTTCTATTTGTTTTCTTATTCTAAATAAATACTTTCATAGCAATTTTGTATTCACGTTTTTATATTTTTTTCTTAAAGATGGCCCCAATATGATACAAGCTTTGGGTTCCGTGAGACATGGATCTGATCTGCCACTGAATTTTAAAAATCACACATCTTGGGATGTCTGGGTGGCTCAGTTGGCGTCTGCCTTCGGCTCAGTTCATGATCCCAGGGTCCTGGGACTGAGCCCCGCATCCTCCCTGCCCAGTGGGTGGCTTGCTTGTCCCTCTCCCTGCTCTTATGCTCTTGCTCTCTCTCTCCCTCTCAAATAAAATCTTTTTTAAAAAATAAAAATAAATAAAAATCACACATGTTTACCCCAAACATTATTACCCCAAGCAAACATTATGACTAATATAGATATATCAGGAATGGAGACATTGAGCTCTGTGATGGCCGAGTGCTGAGGTGTTGGGCTTGAACTCTACTGGGGCTCCCCTCAGCAAGCTCGGAGTCCTGCTCACAACAGCTTCGCTTTCTAACCTAAGCTGCTGCTAAGAGTTATTCGTGGCCACGGTACCACTAATTGTGTTGGAATAGACAACATTAATACCATGGCAGCAAGCCCCTTCCTTGTGCCGAGGACTGCTTGGCAAGATATGGGCATATGCCGATTTGAATCTCAGCATTCCGACCTCAGTCTTGACTTTCTTTTCTTGCTAGAGAAGAGCATTCTCCAAACTGAGGTACTCCAACTTGAAATAATTTCCTGTTGGACAATTCTGTAACCCAAAAAGAAAATAAGTCTGAAGTCATTGGTTTTCAGGGAACTTGAACTGCTCCTAATTATCCCCAACTCAGTCCATCAGTTTTTGAGTGCCTTATCTGAGCAGCTTCAAACCTTGCATAGAACCCAAAACATATTCAGCATATAGTAACAATTTTCAGAAATCCTTGAGCAGATGGTCAAAGAAAAGCAATGTGGTCACCTAAAATGATGGCAGGCTTTGAAATAATGTTAGGTACACTTCCAATATCATTTAAACTGTTTTTGCAAGTATATTTTTAAAAATTAAGTTTTCCTCATAGGGGAAGGGAAGGAAAAATAAAATAAGATGAAAATAGAGAGGGAGACAAACCGTAAGAGACTCTTAACTCTAGGAAACAAACTGAGGGTTGCTGGAGGGGAGGGGGGTCGGGGCGGTAACTGGGTGATGGGCATTAAGGAGGGCACGGGATGTGATGAGCACTGTTATATGCAACTGGTGAATCACTAAACTCTACCCCTGAAACTAATAATACACTATATGTTAACTAAATTGAATTTAAATTAAAAAAATTTTTAAATAAGTTTTCCAATTCATTTAAAATAGCTTGTGTACCAACTTTCATATGGATTTCACTGTGGCTGCATCCAACCTCCGAGCAGAAAACTGTAACATTCCCCCTGCAGATCGGCATAAGGTAATGATAGCATAGAGCTAAGCTTTCACCCTTTCTCAAGGGTGAGTCTCCCACATTTATCCTCTTCTGTAGACCCTGAACCTCTCTAATGACTACCTCTCCTGGTCATCTTCTGTCTCGCAGAGCAAGCTGACTGCAGGGAAGATCATCCCTGCCATTGCCACAACCACAGCAGCTATAGTTGGCCCCGTGAGTCTGGAGCTATACAAAGTGGTGCAGGGACACCGGCAGCTTGAATCTTACAAGAACAACTTCACGAACGTGGCCCTGCCCTTCCTCAGCTTCTCTGAACCCCTTGCCCCACCCCGTCACCAGGTGGGGACATGCTTGTATGGACACCTTTGGTTTTGCCCATCAGTGAGTGAGGCTGTGTATATGTGCTGGGTAGGATGTGTGTCTGCATCTCTGTACAACTGTCTCATAGCAGGTGGCGCTTTGTATGCTTGGGTTCCTGTACCTTTTGTATACCGTCTGTCCATTCATCATACAGTTTTTTGAATTGTGCAAAGTATGAGTGTGACCGGGCATATTTGAGAATTAATGAGAAGGCCAGGATGGGAAGGTAAAGGAAGTGGAAGGTGAGTGAAGGAGATAACAGGATCGCCTTATTGTGTAGACATATTGGTCAATATAAGAATATCAGTTGTTTGCACACAATGATATGGGGCCACAGGAGGGTTAGGACAAAAGAAGGTTGTGATTGATGCGTCTTAAAAAGTCAAGTCGAGGAGGGGGGTGGAGCAAGATGGCGGAGGAGTAGGAGACCTGGATTTCATCTGGTCTCAGGAATTCAGGTGGGTAGGGATCAAACCATTCTGAACACCCACAAACTCAACAGGAGATCGAAGAAAAGAAGAGCAACAACTCTCTCATCAGAAAAGCGACCACTTTCTGGAAGGTCTTTTCAGATTTGTTTAGAGTATATTTTCTGGGGACGTTGTTACTCTGCTAGCATTTTGTTCTCTCATTAATCTATTCTCCTCTGCATAAAAAGTCAAGTCGAGTGGTTGGGCTAGGATCATCTGGGTTAGCCTGCACTGCACTCCCCTGTGTTTTGTCCTATAGCACTATAACCAAGAGCGGACGTTGTGGGATCGCTTTGATGTACACGGCCACAGCCTAATGGTGAGGAGATGACTCTCAAACAGTTGCTTAACTACTTTAAGGTGAGCCTTTTCTACAGTCACTCCACCCAGGGGTGCTGGTTGTGCAGATGATTCGTACTCTCCTTTTCTGTGACACTGTTGTCTGTCCTCCTTCCCACCCTCCTCCAGACAGAGCACAAATTAGAGATTACCATGCTGTCCCGAGGTGTAGCCATGCTGTGCTCCTTTTTCATGCCAGCTCCCAAACTCAGGGAACAGCTGGATCAGCCGTGAGTTGGCCGCTGGGCAGGCTGAGGAAGGCCCTGTGTGGGGTGGGAAGCCTTACTACTTAATGTTCGTGGTTATCCCTATCTTCTTCACCTCCATGTGTGTATCCTCTCTTGCTTTCTCCTCCCTGGCCCTCTTCTCCCTTTCCCAGGGTGACAGAAACGGTGAGCCATGTGTCAAAGCGAAAGCTGGGCCACCATGTGCTTGAGCTGTACTGCAGTGATGAGGTGGCGAGGATGCTGAGGTCCCCTGTGTACGATGCACCATCCGCTGACTCCCCAGTCCCCAAACTGTTTAGTTTCAGATCCCTTCTAGTTGTGGCAAAACATGTGCCTAGCCAGGCACATAAGCTTTACGTCCTTTTGAGAACCTTTTTTTTTTTGTGGTTGCTTTCTACTGTGTAGAATTGGAATGGCTAATAAAGACTTATTAATGCAAAAAATAAATAAATAAAATAATAAAATAAAATAGCTGGTGTAAACTTGACTCCAAAACTTTCCAAAGCTGAATGAAAAGGAAACAAAAGACCAATCTCACTCATGTGTATTGTCACAAAAAATATGAATAAAATGTTGACATGTTAAAATGAACACCATATTGGACTAATATTTTTCTAGGAACATGAGAATGATTTATCATCAGGAAAAAATCACTATTAAGATGAATTAATAGCTTGAAGGAGAAAAAAATGAAATCCTCTTAGTAGGTGTCAAAAGGAATTTGGAAAAATTCAAAATCCAAATTGGTGCAGCTACTATGGAAAACAGTATAGAGGGTCCTCAAAAAATTAAAAACAGAACTACCATATGGTCCAACAGGTCCACTTCTGGGTATTTATCCAAAGAAAGCAAAAACATGAACTTGAAAAGATATCTGCACTACTATGTTTATGCAGCATCACTTACAATAGCCTATGTGTCCATTGACAGATGAATGGATTAAGAAAATGTGGTGTGTGTGTGTGTGTGTATGAGTATTTTCCAGCCAAAAAGAGAAGGAAATCCTGCCATTTGTGAGAACATGGATGGACCCTGAGGTCTTTATGCTAAGTGGAATAAATCAGACAGAGAGACACAAATACCATTATGATCTCATTTATATGTAGAACCTAAAACAAATAAACAAAAAACAACCCAAAACCCTCTTACATACAGAGAACATACCAGTGGTTGCCAGAGTGGGGGCAAAATGAGCAAAATGAGCAAAGGGAATAAAAAGGTACAAACTTCCAGTTATAAGATAAATTAGTCCTGGGGATGTAATGTACAGCATGGTGACTCAAAAGGAAAAAAACTAAAAAATCAGAAACTTTCCCAGGCAGATTGGAGAAGATTGTTTCTATGCTTCCACCATATCCTAAAACTAAAAAGCAAGTGTTTTCTGAAGAGAATCAGATCGTCCATATGACTCCAAAGCCAACATCATGTTTAAGGAATAATGTGGTCCGTCTAGTCTAACCAAGTACAAGAACAATGAAGGGAAGAAATCAGACAGAGAGACACAAATACTGTTATGATCTCATTTATATGTAGAACCTAAAACAAAACAAAACAACCCCAAACCCTCTTACATATAGAGAACAGATCAGTGTTCTACACCTACCCTACAAAATTGGGTGAGGGGAGATGTTAATGATGTTAAAGATAGAAATCCAAGAGAATCCACTAAAGAGCTTAGACTTCAGAAGTTCAACGTGATATGAGCACTGGGTGTTATACTCAACTAATGAATCATTGAACATTATATCAAAAACGATGATGTGCTATACCTTGGCTAATTGAGTGTAAATAAAAAAATAATTTTTTTAAAAAAGTTCAATGTTATCTCCTTTGGAACATGACCACCTGTTTCTAAAGGGTGCTACTTAATTGTCATGCAAAACTTCCCAGCTTGGATCTGCAAACCACCTTCAAATTTCTAAATTTGTTTGTTAGGGGGTATTAAGATTCTGTCTGTATTTTCACTCTTTGACCAAAAGATTATTAATAAAATCACAAACTCTAGCATGTTCCTTGTCTTAGAATTATGTGTCAGATGGTTTTGTTTCTGCCTTTGGGCCATAACAGAACTAGCAGGTCTATAGTTTGCTGAGCTATATGTCAGCCCTTCTCCCCGCCCCCTACCCTCTCTACTCCCCCCATCACCCTTTCAGAGAAAAGCTCCCAGATTTGGAACCATAGGTTTCTGTTTCAGTGGAAAACAGAATTCCCTTGCCTCCCTAAGGACAGAGGGGCATGTCTTGGTCAACAAAAATGCAGAAACTTTTGTAGCCATGTGATTTATGAAATTGGGATTAGACAGAAAGATAAATGTAAATATTATAATGTAGGGATGTTTTCCCCTTTTTTCCCCTTCCTTTTCATTTCCTTGTTTTCTCGCTGAAGTGTAAATTCTAAGATTTTAGCCCTAAAGTTACTTTTAAGACAGTGCAAATATGTTGATTTCTCATTATGAATGGGGGAAGGGAAATTTGTTAATCAGGCAAAGGAGGGGAAGGGGAGAGACAGAAGTTAGGGCAGAATGTGAAGCTTTTTTTCAGTGAGGTTTGTGGCAAGTGGGCCCAACCATTACTTTGGTCGCTGAAAACAGAGGACGCATTCCTCTTCTCTGTCCATCCAGCCGTCCCCAGGGCTCAGGCACCTTACCCTGATCAATGCTAGCAGTCTGGGAAGCCCATCTACTGAAAGATCGCCTTATGCAAAGAATCCACATAATGTTGAGTCACCGAAATAGTTCGGTTTGCAGAGCATTAGACTGAGGCTTGAAGTTCCATGGTTAGATCTTGCATTTCACTGAAATTATTTTCTCATGGCCCTATTCCAAAAGTAATTGACTAAGGGCCCCCACTCCTTGCAGAAATAAATATTTTAGAGTGACAACATAAATTTTTCACGTTTTACCCAAGGGAAATTCAGGGCACTACCCCAAAAAATGGCAGAAGTGGGAAGGTCACTCTGACCTTCCTCCCACCCCTGAATTAGGTCATAAAACCACCAAGTGAGAGGCCCCTTCTCTATACTGAGAGGAAAGGAGCGTCCTTGTCTCAAGAAAACCAAGGGAAATCAAGAAGAATCCTAACAAACAGGCCTTGCTAAGCTTCGCCCAATTTACTACACTTACCTCATAGTTTTTGACCTGCACTATTTTTCTCTGGTTGCCCACTCTTCATCAAACCCAGCATAAAAATACTCAGACTAAACCGTTTCTTATGGTCGTCATTTCCTCATGAAGGCGCCCACATCACGCAAAACTTACATCTAATAAATCTGTATGCTTTCTTCCTGTTAATCTCTTTGTCCTTTTAATTTCTGGACACAGCCAGAGACCCAAAGAGGGTCACTTTTTCCTCCCCTACACTGCCTTCCTAAAAGAGACAAAATATATTTTGTGTGTGTGTGTGCAGCCGTTTCTATAATCCACGAGTTACTACGCCGCGCCTTGCGCTCCTTCTGGGACACCCTCCGCGCCGCCGCGCATCTCTCCCTGGCCGGTGAGCCTGGACCGCAGCCCTCCACAGCAGGCACTCCAAAAGTGCTAAGCCAAGGACTGGGCCAGAATGTGGGTTTTGCCTTAACCCCCAGGGAAGATACTGCTGGAGAAAACTGGGAGACATGGGAGACGTTGGCGAGAGAGACCCTCTCCGTGGGAGGGTGTGAGAGTGGAGGGGAGAATTCTGCTTTGACTTGGGTTTGCTTCAAACAACTCGTCATTTTCAAGGGACCCAAACCATCGAGTCCGTGGACAGACGGGGGTTACTGCTTTACTTCTAGAGTTGGACGATTCACACCTCCCCTGTTCCACCCACTCCTGGTGGCTGTGAAGCTCCTTCCAAACCCCTGCTGCTCTGTGGGCTAACCCGCAAACGAGCCAGGGGACACCGCCGCGTCGAGGACAGGGGACACTCCTTCTCCCCGGAGCTCACAGACGCGGAGTGGCCGGCCTTCCTCCGGGCTTGTGCGGCCTCCCGGGCCCTCAGCGTCCTCGAGGCCTCCAGGCAGCCCCGGGCTGGCCCCGGGCAGGTGGCAGCATCAGCCCCGCACCTGCGCCACCTCTCCGAGCATCCGTCAACGCCTCGGTGGTGCTCCCCTCCAGCAGCCAGCCTCCCTTCTCTGACGTGCAGCTGGGCGTCCCCGCGGGCTCTGAGGGTCCGTGGCTCAGCTGCGCGTCCCCGCGGGCTCTGCAGGGTCCGTGGCTCAGCTGCGCGTCCTCGCGGGCTCTGCAGGGTCCGTGGCTCAGCTGCGCGTCCTCGCGGGCTCTGCAGGGTCCGTGGCTCAGCTGCGCGTCCCCGCGGGCTCTGCAGGGTCCGTGGCTCAGCTGCGCGTCCCCGCGGGCTCTGCAGGGTCCGTGGCTCAGCTGCGCGTCCCCGCGGGCTCTGCAGGGTCCGTGGCTCAGCTGCGCGTCCCCGCGGGCTCTGAGGGTCCGTGGCTCAGCTGCGCGTCCCCGCGGGCTCTGAGGGTCCGTGGCTCAGCTGCGCGTCCCCGCGGGCTCTGAGGGTCCGTGGCTCAGCTGCGCGTCCCCGCGGGCTCTGAGGGTCCGTGGCTCAGCTGTCGGTGAGCTAACCTCGAACGAGGAGCTCTGTAGGAGCAACATCCCCAGCACCTGCCGCGGGAAGGACCCCTCCCCACCGCGCTACACACTCTTTGCACACAGCGTAGCGAAGCTGACCTGCCAGCCGGCCGCGTGGCCTAATGGATAAGGCGTCTGATTCCGGATCAGAAGATTGAGGGTTCGAGTCCCTTCGTGGTCGTTGCCGTCATTTTCCTCCCCTGCCGGAGGGTAAGGCGCGCACGACCCCTCCCGTCTGCCGGGCAGCCTTTCTTTCTCATTTAAGAAGCGCACGCCGCCCTGCGCTGTGCCACACTTGATTCACCAGCGGACAAGCCGCAAGCAGCAGGTGTTTCCTCAAGGCGCTTCCTTTCTAGTAGACCCGACAGATGACGTCAAGTAAACAGAAACACAACGACTGGAATTTGTTGGAGGTCCCAGGAAGGAGATAAGCGACGGGCTGAGATCAAGAACAGAGTATTGCTGGCAGAAGGAAAAACTGCTAACTCGTGGACAACCTGGAAACACCTGCTCTTCCCAAAGCTCAGATCACTAAACTTTTGTTTTGCGGGGCGGGGGCCGTGGGGAGGAAGAGTTCACTTAAAAAAAAAAAAATCAGTGAAAGGGGGGTAAGGGTGAGTTGAATTTCTAGGAACAAGATCCCTGACTAGGATTCCCTATGACTGTGGCTTTGCACTTGGTCTGAAATTGGTGTTCTCCAGATTTTCATTAGTTACCATAAATACAACACTACCTCCCAAACAGTGATCTCAGAAGCCTAAATAAAGACAGAAGCCACTCAAGGCTTTTTTATCCTAAACTGAACTGTCC